ATTTATTACCCCAGTAACGGTTACGCGAATCTCTGCTAGAGTTAGCGACTGACTCGCCGTTACACCGTTACAATAGGTAGGATTAGCTTAGTCTGAGAATTTGAATTCACTATGATTTTTGAGTTTTATTTCTAAGAAACTAAGCATGTAAAAACGCATAAAAATAATTGGACAAGGACGCATGCGGACAGACAATGATTTTTGCCCTTGACTCTCCTGTACATGTCTTACGCTTACACTTCGGACAATTGATTAATTTAACATTGTAATAAAATTTATTATTACAGTACATACAAATTGATTTAATAGTATTTTATTTAAATAAAATAAGCTGGATTATTTAATTGTTTTATCAATTATTGATTAATTATCTTTATTAATCAATAAATAATAACGTATTTAACTAAACATATTGAATTAGTTGTTAATACGCTTCGAATAATTTATCAAGCTAGATGTAACTTGATCTAAATTCTTCATTAACAACATTAACAAAACAATAAAAAATGAATAAAATTATAGGCTAAAATAATAATTGTTAAGACAATTTTTACCTACCGTGTAGGTTAAGTTAAATCTTTTCGTTTTTTTTTTTGTCACTTTCTTACAAGTAAATGATTTATTAATACTATATTATTGGCATCCAAAATATTATTAAAACCAAAAAAAATAACATGTAATTTCCGTTTTCTATAAAAAATTGGTATTAAATTCGGGTTAATTGTCAAAAAAGTAATTGTTGTTTTGATTTATAACTCTCGATTTGTTAAATATTATGTTTTTGAAAAACTATTCTTGTTACTTAAGTTAATGTATTTGTTCATTTATGAAGTAATACTGTATACTGTAAGTACATACGTGTAAACTTGGTGTAGCAAATAAAATGCTAAAAGAGCAAAGTTGTACGCCAACACTGTATCTATAAAAAAGACGGTAGAAGTTTTATACACAATGCTTGTGCTTTACACATAATAGCATTCATCCATCATAATGACTCGTCTAAACGTTCGGGTATTCATTTTTATTTCTCTTCTCATTGGATTTTTAGCGTTCGAGGCGAATGGAGGCATGTATATATAAACTATGTTTCCTTTATTTTTGTATAATTGATGTTATTATCTAGTTTAACTTTTGTATTCTTTACTTCTTGAAACTTAGCTACCTATACTGTTGCATATCCCGATACTACTTTTTTGGTTACTACTACTGATACACCCCCGCCCGCTAGTGAGATTCCTTCCGGAGCTGTAATCTATGGCCCCTCCACTACTGTTACTGGGAATCAGCCCTATGGTACAGTATCTTTAAAATATAATATTATTATATGATTAATAAATTTTATCTAACAATTACCCATTTCGTCTTTTCTCTAAATAGTTTTTTATACTCTTGAAGGCGGCACTTCCACCATAGTGTTTTCCAGTTATAGCTTTGATAGTATTGATCCCAGCAATATTCCTTCTGGATACACACTTATCGGTCCCTCTACTACAGTTGTCGGAAACTCCCCTATAAGTTCAACTCCCACTACATCTGATGCACCCGTGTTCTCTGAATCAGCCTCATCTATTGGTAGATCTTCGACTAGTAGTTCTTTAACTTCTAGTCACATATCGGCTAGTGGATATTCAGGCCCCAGCAGTCCTTCTACTTCCGGCAAAATCTCGAATACTAGGGGTAACTACGGACCTGGTAAGCACAAGATTAATGAACAATGAATTTGAATTAGCCAACAAAAAATTTTATGCTTATGTTGTCAATGAATATTTTTATTGCATTAGGACCTACGGTCGCAGTATCGGAAACAATCGCTTATAATAGGCCTAATTGCGACTTGGGATTTTTCTTAGCCATTGGAATTAGCATAGCATATTGCAGTTGGATATCTATAATTGAACGGTAGAATCGTTGAACGTATTTATTGCTTAAATTATTTTATCCAAGAATTAAATAGATAGTTTAAAGAAATGGGAACCGTTAGGGTCCGAATTATTATTTTAAAAAATTTAAAATATATTTATTGTTTTAATTAAATTTTTGAACCTAATGTTCTAATAAAATTTTTTTGAAAAATTTTTTATACAAAATTTTTATTAATCTGCACACACACAGTACGCATATTAATTTCAAATTAACTTTATGATTAAAAATATTAAAAATGGAAATAAAATATTATTCATTTATTTTTTTATACTCCTATTTAAATAATTTAAAATTTTTTACTTTTTGTATGAAAATTATCGAACATTAAAAAGTGCCCTTTCTGCTCAATATCTCCCTTTAACTCCTACGCTGTGCTTTGAACAATTAATTATGTTTACTTTATATTTGGTAAAATACATGATACTGTTTTAAGGAAAGTATTTTACTGTATTTAAATATTAACTTTTTATTTGATTAATATTTCAGATAATTAAACAAAGTGAATAATTTAAGTACGTAATGCTGTAACATTCACAGATCTTACGTGAATATGCAATATCAACCGAAGATTACTTACAGTATGAGTAAAAAATTTAAACAATCCCGAACTTCTTTGCACTTCTGTATAAGCACACATGTTTTTCCGAGAAGATACTTACAGTTATCGGCGAAAAGAATGGCGGTGAGAATTCTTTTTTTTTTACCAATTAGGGAAATCGAATGTTATTTTAATAAACAGAATATAAACAATGACGTTTAATATTGTTTATATCCTGTTTATATAATTCAAAATGGTATTAACGCATCTTGAAATAACTTTAACAACAAAATATTTGCAATTCAAGGAAAATTTCTCTACAATTTGGAATTCCTCTACATTTTTGTGAACAGTATACCAGTTTATTAAATAAAACTGGTAAGATTCCTATTGGTCATTCTTCTGGCCGTTCAAGAAAATTAACTGCTAAAAAACATCGTCACATCGGAAAAATATGCTAAATAAAATTATTTATTCAAAAGTTGCAAAAATGAAACTTAAATAAAAATTTGTTCTGATAAAAATACATATAGAAAGTCCATGTCGTTATAGGTACTACTGTATTTTTCACTTTATTACATCAATACAGTAGCTGATCAATAACTCCATCCAAGTTCCCTCTATACCTCCTAACCAACTCCCCTAGCTCTTCATCATTCGCCCTAAATCCCATTGACTTTAATACTTCTACCCTCTCTTTAACGTCATTTTCTGAAATAGTACTGCCCGTTCCACACTGTTGATTCGAGAATGACCTTGAATTATTACAACTCATATTTCTCCTCCCATATTCCTCTCGGTTACCTACACTTGAGCAACAATGTTCGTGACAAATTTGTCCCCGCTCATCATAATAACCACGCCCGCGGTGGAAACTATTAACAAAAGTCAATCCCTTCCATAACAAGAATATAGTTATGATTGGACAGAAGGCGATAAGAGAGAGCTTCACAAAAGTAACAAAGAGAGAGACAAAAAGTATAGTTTTCATAATTCCTTTAAAAATAGAACCGGTTATGCATTGACGTGGATGATGATAGACCCGCCAACGAGCGAATCGACCTCGCCTGCTATTAAATGGCGAATATATACGATCGGAAAATCGAGTGTGACGAGAAAAAAATGGATGGGCAAACGACAAGAACCTAGAACTAAAACATGGAAGTTGTAGCCACGGATTAAATATAACAAAGTTGATATCCAAACTATTCGGGTTTTCATGGTCTTCCGAATCTTGTGATTCTTGATCGTGAACCCTAGGTGATTGATCATCATTTCGTATGGCATCAGAATTGGACGAAAAAGACGACGGAAGGAAAGCGAACGAAGTTTCACCAACAGTCTCGTGTTGTAATGTTTCAGACTTTCTTTGTTGTTTTTCTTCATTTGGTGGTGCTTGTACGGATGAAACTGTAGGTTCGAAGGTTGGTTCTTCAGTTTCTTCCGACAAAGTCACATGTCTATGTACCGGTGTATTAATGGACTCCTGCTTGTTGATTTCTTCCGAGAAACCCCCTTCACCAGAGCTACCTTCGCTATCGCTATAAATCACATTATTGTTATAACTCTCATCGTCACTATTTTCATTACTTTTATTATTGGTCGAATTAACCCATCCTCTTTTGGTATTCATCGTGCTACCTTCAAACATCCAACCATTATCGATTTGCGCATCCTCTTCGTCAGATACAGTTATTACAAACTTTAATAAAGCACCATCACTATTTTTCAAATTTTCACTGTCATATTCTCGAGTAGGGGATAAGACTTCTGAGAGTTCGAGATCACTAGAAAGCGTGATGACATCGCCGTCTTCATCATTATAAGAAACGGTGATCGGTGTGCTCATGGGTATTTTAAAAAGGGAACGAAGTTGTGATTCGAAGTCTAACCATGTGGTGGTTGAGGAGACTTTGAAGCGGCGGGAGATTTGACCATAGGTTACCTTGACGTTCGCCATCGTTCCAAGTTTCTTTGGGATAATTAGCAATACAGTACTGGTGATTTTTATAAAATGCTGATCAAATGTATTTATCCGATACGTACTTTGTTCTTATTTTGACAACCCGGTCGATTCCCTGAATTTATACTTTTCTCCCACACGCCAAACGATCTACAATTACGCGGAACTGCTATTCGATTCGTAAGCAAAGTTCGGTTTTTAATGAGTACGTAAACAAAAATTTTATTACGTATACACGTACGTAGATACGTACGTGTGTCATTTGATTATTCGGTTGTTAAATTTTTCTAGAATTTCTATCGGTTAATTTTGATTCCGAATATTGATCTACATGATACGTGTCGTGCAAACAAGCGCATTACGTGTTTGTAATATCCTATGCAATGTCCGGTAAAAAAAGTGAGTCACAGCTATAACGCAATAATTTAGGAGAGATTACTCCTTTCGTTTAAAGCTTAGAACATTCTTAATATACGCATGAAAGTAAAACTTTACTAAAACTTTCATTCAGGAAATAATTGTAATTCATATAAAATACATTGTTAGAAATTATATTGAATTTGATTTTAAAAAGATAAAATACTCTCATTCATATCCAATTTTTTATATTTGCTAAATTAGGTTCTAATATTCTGGTTGATGAATTCTTGTTGTTGCTGATGAGTTTGTCGAGATAGTTTGCCTAGTTTGTTTTTTATTGTTGTTCTTCATCATCTTGGGATTGTGATGAGTTGTTTGTTGTACTTTCTAATCACTCTTTTTAAAAATAAACATGTGGAGAAAAATGTTAAAAGTTGCACAGTACAAATATATCTTTGGAGCTCACCCAAATGGTGCCAAACCCAATATTATTATTTCTGAGTTGGATATTCCCATTACAACTGTCTATAACACAATAAAGCATTATAATGAAAATAATATCATGTAGTCAAAAAAATGGTCAATATGACTC